GTAATCCGTGCAAATAAAACTGAGTAATGAAATAGAAGTCTGACATGCCAGTTAAAAGATAGAGTGTTGCAGCTTCTGATTTCATAGATCTTCAAGAAGGGTTATCAATAATGGGATGGGTGATGAGTTCAACTGCATACGCTGTGATTAACAATAATGCTCCGAGTCAATACATTTTGTCAAATGTATGACATGTATTACGTGAATGAACATATTGTTTATACTCGTCCATGTTTTTGACGGACAAAATAATTTACATGCTCGGTAAAACTGAGGACGGGTATCATTGTGTGTTTCCGTGCTTTGTTCAGGTGAACAATTGACTTGTCCTTGCATGTGTTTGTGACGGGTGCCACTTGTGTGGCAGGATACGCTCACCTTTTCCCGAACACCCATTGGATGACCTGAACCACTTCGGATTTTTATCCCACATCAGTCTGATACACCATGATATAACTGAAATACTGAAATACTGTACAGTTGAAAATGATGTTTAATGCGATTACCGTAGTGTGTTACTGCAACTGTTCATATTTTGTGCAGTGATGTAATATGTAAAAGAAAGCATATTCAATTATCCAATTGATTTGAATAGAATATACTTGCGTCAGTGTATTTTATTAACGCCCCATATCGTAATTTAAACACATAAAATAACAGATCACGCATGGTGCCTTGACTTACTACTAGATTTAATGGGCCACCCCGGAATAAAATATTTCCCCCCAAAGCGAGGAACGTATGTTTTAGTATGTTTACAAGAAATATATTCCAATCAATATCCTCATTAGATGAGAAGATCTTTTACAGAATTACCTCAGTAAGTCAATTACAATGACAGAGCCTCGTAATACATTTACATCAAGTACAATACGTCAAAATGGCCGACACGATAAACGTGACGGGAGATATTTTCGAAGTTGTTAATTAACCTGTGGCTATTTCGAGCCTTTGGTATCACTGATCAATTGGCCGATCATTGAAAGGTGATTGTGAAGATGTGTCAAATAGATACTAAGGTAAATTCATAGATTTCTGTAAATTGTCACTGCGACAGTTTGGATTTTTTTTCGTGTTTTTTTTCTCTGGGATGGGTTGTAGCGAGGGTATCCTTAAATGGGCTTGCAACCACGCTTCTGTATGAATTCGTACCAGGGAATTCAAGGGTTTTCCCCAGGAATGTGGAAGTAGTCAGTGTTTACGCCTTTTCAAGAATACAGTCACGCGAAGAACGTCATGTGACCGACCTCGCGTCCAAGTCGTATATCTTGTACACTTCACATTAAAAAATTAGTTATTGTTATAACCAAATGAAACACAACCCATTATCCGATAGGGGTAACTGTACATAGCCGTTACCACAATAAACTTAGTAACATTGTTTGGTTTGACTTCTTGGCGCGTGTCTGAATTCCATTAACATGTAACATATCCTAAAACTAGCTTATCAGCAAATCTCGCTGCACTGCCCGCGACAGATACTAGAGCAAGGCATGCCAGAAATACGAAACCTAAAGCTTCCGAAAGGAAGCCTTGGACATCACGTGCGTCGGGGGACCAGCGCCATCTGATTGGCCTTTAACAGTTGTACAAGGCGGAGCAAAAAGCATCGTTTTTCCGTCCATTTTACGCTTGAAAAACTCGACCCTTTTCTGGACACTTTCTAGACACTGACCAATTAATCAATTTTAATGAATTTTTAGTCGTTTTTCCGTCCAATGACCATATACGGATAAAAACGACGTTTTCGTGTTTGCAGTGAAATATAGCAACGATTGTGGCACTGACAGCGATGTTGGGTGGACGAAACAGACAAGTAAGCAGAGAACAAGCAGTTCAAAAGTTTCGAACACAAAGATGTTGATGTAAACTGTCAATAAAGGGTAATTATTACTGCACGCTACAATAAACTTTGTTTCCATTCTTCATTTTATGAAAATGCTTTCTTTGACGCCTTTGCAATATTTTTGTTACCATAAACTTTGTCAAATTCGAACCGCTGAAAAATACAGTACCATTTCCATATTGAATTATTAATTAATAAGAAATGTAGTTATGTTATAAAACATTATTCATAATGAATATAATGTAAAAAGTGTTCCACAACAATTATTTCATGCTTTTTTTTCAAATAGGAAAAATGTTTTGGAACCAAATTGTGTGATAATAATCAAACTTGTACTACATCGCTTTGATTATTTTTTGTTTTAAAAATTATATTGTAAATAAGATTATGTAATATAATATTCTTTTAAAGTATTTGAAAAATGTTGAAATCATAAGCGGAACAGGCCTCATTTTTACATTCTCCTTTTTGGTTAGTCGTTTTAGTTATGATGATAACGAGCATAGAGTGAAAAATGATAATAATTGTTTAACATTAAATATTTCATTTGAAGTTTTTGAACAAAGAAACAAATTTTACTATCAAATATTTATACACCCTTAAAACTGTTCTGTTAATTAGTTCACGAAAATTCAAGGCATAATATGTCTGCTCTTTCAAAAGAAGTAGAAGTAGATCCTCTAATCTTCTTTGAGTGGTAGAGCATCAATAAAATTCTTTTTGGTGGAACCTCCTACCATTTTACAAATATCATGTCCATCTAGAGATTCGACTTTGGTGTCAAACCAAATATCATGTCATGGGAATAGCAGCACTCCAACACATACTGGTTCTAGTAGTGTTGGGGTGTGGATTTTATCATTAACTACAGTGACGTGCATGCGTTACCTCTGCCTTATCGTATGCCCAAACAGAAGAATTATAGGGTGATAGTTTTATCAAGTGACAACAAAGGTTGGAGTGTACATGTTGTATATTGCATCTTCACAAGATCAAAGAATTGTAGACCTGTCAACATGTATTTAATTTAATCGGGTTAAATGGTCCACACCACATCACTGTAATGCGCCCGTCATCTGACATGTGTGCTATTTGTAAAAAACAAACCAAAAACCAATTCATTTGTCATAAGAGGGGCTAATCTTTCTGAAGATATGACATCTGAACCATCGCAGCAATGTTCATCTGAGGCATCCAGAACAAGCAAACCAGTGTATGGTGTACTCTTTCTATCAGTATGAAAAATTGAGACAGTTTATGACATTTCTGTCAGGAGATGAAAGAACACTCCAAACACATTCCTGGGAACTATGCACTATTCCTTTGATTTTGCACAGAAATGTGGTTATCCATGTGATTCCCAACAAGTTAGGCCAATGTATTTTAAAGCCTCAAGGTTATGCTTTCTATCTGGTGTCTGCTCTGAAGCTTGTCCAGAGAAAATCTACTCCCTCACGAAGCTGATTACACAGTGTAAGGTGCTATGTTTATCACTATTTGGTTACCTTTGCCGTGCCTTCAGATTCGATCAATCTGCGCTATGATAATTGTGTGGGGCAAAATAAGAATAACTTTTCATTGATGTATTCGATCCGGAGGATTCTGACAAGGAAGGAATCATTCTATTGACGTAAAGTTTCCTCTTTGTGGGTCATGCCCTGTTTGGTCCCGACTGGTATTTTAGCTGATTCAAGCAGAAGTATCAAAGACCAGGTGTTTCCTCATTGACTGACACAGCAGCTGTCTTTTAGACGTCATCCAAGTCTCAAAAAGTGCAGCGATGATGAAAGTGTCACAGTCGTACTGACTGGAAGGAGGCTTTTGAGGGATTGTACAGACCCGTCAAAGGGATTACCAAGTACCAACACTTCAGGATGTCTTCAGATACATCGAGTGTGGTGCTGTAGAGAATTCCTCTACAGTTATGAAGCCAGAAACAGCAACGACACATTTATAAAGTCAAATGACCCTTGGTGCCAGCCATTATCCGGCCACAAGGACTCTCCCTTGAGTGTAGATGGTATGGTCATGATCAGTTCCGGCAACAAGATCAAGATCCAGTTTGTGCAAGCATATTCATATGTTCACAAGCAACTACCTTCCAAAGCTTTACTCTCCTGTGACTGGAATAATGTTAATTTGATACAGTTTGTGCAATCACTGATAAAATAGCCGATATGGGGGATAAGTTCGCCATATTATGAATGACTCTTTTAGTGCCACCTTAGTAAAATAAAAATGTCAAAATTATGTACAATATTAACACGTGACATGAATGTATGATAAATGGATGTGATAGGACTGTAAATATTATGATAAGAATGAAAATATTTTCAATAGTAATCTCCCTTATAATATTATATCTTTACCCGACTTTTGTCTAAAGTGGGAAATGGAGTAATATATTTCACTCTGTGACTGAACTCGACCGAAATGTATCTTATAAATAATGAAATATTTCAGTAATAAATATAAATAATAAGCACCTGGCCAATATCACCATTTTAGTATATGGTGAAACGGTTTTAAGTACTTTGCATTGTAATCTGTTTGAAAAAGGTTTGATTCAATTAAACTTAAATTTCGTCGTGTTTACTTTTATTTAACACATGTCAAAGCTGAGAGCTCTTTTCATAACAATTAGGATGTTAACTTAATGTGGTCAGGGTTGTCATGAAGCCTGAAAAATTGGACTTTACAGAAAATGAGTCCAAATGTCTGGAGTCATGTAGCTCTGTAATGAACATGGAATGCATCTTGCGAATTGTATTTTTGTATTCCTTAGATAATGTAGTTTTTACAAAAGAATGAGAGGCCAAAATGTATTTTCTCACTCACAATGGTCCCTTGTTTCATGGTAGTGTCACACACACTGAAAGCAACTGCAAACAATCAACAGTATTAAAATGGCGTTGAAACCATCGCAACATATTACATTGATTAACTTACCAATGGGAAATATGCTGTTTAGAATGTTACTCAAGGTATCCTTCAGTAATGCAAAATATTAAATGCTTATCACTGTTGATCACTGAGAGCTCTGCTATAAAAAAGCTACAAAAAGATCAATATTATATGACGTAACTGGAACATCTTTCAATTAATTTCTAAATCATATCATTCCATCACTTAATACCTGAACTGCAACCTTTAGAATGCAAACTCGGAACCTTTGGGCCTGACTGTTCTCGCTGTGGACACTGTGACGTCACGTGTAATGTTGGCGATGGCAGATGCCCGGGAGAATGTCTGGATGGCTTCAGTGGTGACCGATGTGATGTGGATATCAGAGGCTCTTATCTTTTTTGTCCTTTCCCCCCCCCCAATGACATCATGTTTAAGAATATGAAAAATATACAATTTATTGTCTAATAACCTTGCATTGATGTTGGTCGACCTAGGCATGTCTATCAACGAGCGTTTTATGTTCTATTATTCTGTACCTTACATATCTATTCATAATAAATGTTAACCACCAGACTAATGCGAATATGTATCTAATCTAGTGTCTCCTGTTACAAGCGGCGTCATTGGTGGAGCAGTGGTAATGGTTGTAATGCTGTTGCTGATTGGCGGTTTGATGATATGTCTGCTGAGAGCTGGAAGGTGACTCTTCATAACTTTTTTTGTATAATGTTAAATATCATAGTATTGGCATTGTCTTCTTTCCTTGTACAATACAATGATAAACACAAGCACCTACATGTATCATACTTCTACCATAATTCTCTGATTCAGACTGAAATGGATACCCCCAAATGGAACAGAGTCGAGAAAGACGGATACAGGGTACACTGGGGAGATTTCTGCTCATGCGCACATATCTGGTGTGAATGATCCAGACTATTCTGAATTGAATGACGTCACCAGGGAGAGAGAGGAGAAGTCTCAGTATGATGTCATCCAGAACAAAGTACATGAAAATAATCAAATCTGAGAAATGATTAATATGTTTTAGCAATAGAGAATAGTCTCGGATCACATCTATGTGTACTGTAGCGTGCATAATATATCACGTATAGTGCCTATCTGTATACGTGACTTCTTGATTGCTTCATGTGTATCCATATCCATGGATATGTGTGTTTATAATAGAAAACAAAGTACTAATGTTACGATGAAACATGCACAAACCAATGCCAAATTGTGCCGATGATGCCAGCTGCTGCTCAAACGTCTGAACGTCATATGTGAATATCGGAAAAAAATAGTTCTCTCTCACTCGTATTACCAATCTAGCAAATATCTTAAGCTGAACTGCTTGTTGTGACCTTTGACCATCATATGTAAAAACAACAAGAGCATGATGTTCCAACTGTTTTTGACACACTGTAGTGGCCTATTATGATTTGCCTTGAAGGTACGCAAATAGTATGATAATGAATTGTGGAAGATGTAATGACATGTTTAGGCTGTCCACATAACGTTCTTTCAAAAGGTCACAATCTTGTCTCAAACAAACACAAACTCAGATAACACTAATCATATCATACTGTTACAAGGTGACATTGTGGAATCCAAATACTTAGTTTGACGTGTTATACAGACACAAAATGAAAGTAATTACTTTTTTATATATATTATCACAAATAATTACAGATGTTGTATCTATCTTGCTCCACAGATTCAGCTTTACATTGTTGACACATAAGGGGTAATTATTGGATAACTAATATGATGCTTGACATGTATTAGAGGTATTGTAATAACAGTGGAAATAACCACAGTGGCAGTAGTAGTATAAAATACAAAAGGAATGGAATAGCATAGCACGACGTTCAATACAAAATAATCTATCAGAAATATACTCATCATGTCATGAAAATTTGACAATTTAAATGTATATGCATTTCTAGTAGAAACAAACAGACAAAAATGAAATGTAGATACTCCTGATCTAGATGCGAAAGTTTCAAAACAACTATTTTTTTCTGGACATATCGGATTCACTAAGTAATTTACTACGCACTCGTAGACTTTGATAGATGTATTGTAATATCTTAGTTAATTTTTGACTAGGGATACCATTAAAAGATAGTATTTTGTTCATGGAATAGTGGTTCTTAGTGATATCAGGCATATATTTCAATCTTAGGTTGTCGTAAATTGGACATATAAACAAAAAGTGTAATTCGTTTTCAATATGGTTTTCGCAGAATGGACAAAAACGCATATCCTTAGGAATGGAGGAGAAGCGACCCCTGTTGCACATCAAATCATTCAACCCTAGCCTAAGTTTGATAAATGTGTCTCTAATTTTTCTCTCTGTTATAGTATGCAGGTAAACCTCTGGTGTTAGACAATATTTAAAGGTATTATAGACGTCGTAGCGTGTACTGTTATCTAGTGACGACCTCCAGTTTTGAGTAAACATATCAATTGCTACCTGCTTAAAAGAGCTAAGAAAATACATTTTGTCTCCAACTCTTTGATTTAGCCAAACATATCCAAATCCGTGAGAGAAGAGTAAATGCTTAATGTTTGATGCCCAGGTTACGTAACCAACACTATCACGACATAGAAGGTATTCTGTTCTAAGATCTTACGTTCAGATGACCCAGTGGGCTTTTTTTTGTGTGACATTGTATGTATTACAAGACAGAACAATGAGCAACATATGGAAACTTCACAACTGATCATTTTGATCATTACAACACGATTTATTTGATATTTAGCTATTTCAATTTCTATTTATGGACTTTTCGTCTGTTCTGTTAGTGTGAATATGTTTTACCTTCGTTCCACATCTTTCTTTGATTCAATTTTGAAAGTGTATATGTATGTAAATCAGTTGTATCACCCAAGATGTATTCCAACTGTAATATAATATGGTTGAGGTGACATTCCTTCCAAAACGAATTTATTTAATTTAATGCTTACTTCCTGTAATAACTTTCCTCTCTCTCTCACACCCGACTCTCTCGTTTTATTTGTCTAGAAATATTCGAACGGTTATACAATTTTCAATATGTTTGATGTTACTTTTTCCTTGTTATTTTGAGGACAATTATACCTGATTTTGCTGTGAATGATCAAGACTATACTGAACTGACTGATGTTACCAGGGAGAGAAAGAGAAGAAGAAGTCACTATATGTCATCCAGAACAAAGTATATGAAAATATTCAAATAGGAAAAATGGTTAATTTCTTTCAGCAAGAGGTTAAAGTATGGTCTTATAAAACACTAACTCCAGTAACTCTAATCATATCATACGATTACGAGGGGACAGTGTGAAATACTAATACTGAGTTTCACATGTTACACAGCCATAAGATAAAAATCATTACAGACTTTGCACATACCTTTGTCGACAGATTCAATTTTAATTAAGAAGTATGTAAAATATATTTTGAACATAGAAAGATAGAGGAACCAATGTGAAGTTGTGTCACCCAAGTTGTATTCCAAGTCCAACTGCGGTTTGTGAAGATAATATGATTGAAGTGATTTTCAAAGTTTATTCATTCGTAATCCATTCTCAATAATGAAATAATACTGACCAATGCTAAGTCGATGAAAGGAATGAAGCTTACTTCCTGTTAAAACTGTCATCTCGAGCACGGATGTCTCGACAAATTGGCTTGTTTTGTCTAGAAATTATTTGAACGTTTATTATATGCATTCTCAATATGTTTCATGTTATAATTACTTTGTTCTTGTTATGTTGAGGACAAGTGTACCTGATAAAACAACTTTGAATAAAATGAAATGGAGAAAGTGAGTTGTATTTATATATCCACAGACGTATGCTATAATTGAGGATTGTGTTTGTTGTTTAATGCCGCACTCAAAAATATTACAGCTTTATGACAGCGGTCCGTAAATAATTTAGTATGGACCAGTCACTCCAATTATTGATATCAAACCAAGTCACCGAGCCTGACCACTCGATCCCGTTAGTCACCTCTTACGACAGGCATAGTCGCCTTTTAATTGAGGAACATTGCGTCCATACTCAACATAAAGTACATAACCAAGGGCAGTTAATAATCTCGATTATACCTCAATATATTGTTTAAATAAAAGCAATGCGTCGTTTAGTAAAACAGCTGATGCAATAATGATGAGTAATGTATGTAAACAACGTGACGGGTAATTTAAAATCGTTACATTTTGTTTCCATTTTATTATTTATATGCATGCTATTGAGTGTGGAATTTTAGAGACCTTCTGATAACATGAACTCTAGATACATTTACAGGTGATTGACAAGTAGAAGCGCGCCAATCAGCAGGAGGAAGCATCAAAAGGAAGATGTATTGGGTGTCTAGCACTTCAAATAGGCGTCAAGAAACACACCCAACAAAAAATGCAGTCAGCACCTGATGATATTCAACAACATATAACCACTTTGCAATAATACACTGAAGCACGTTAAAAGGAACATCCATGTTTACTCACCCATCAACAGTTATTATACATTGATTATACATTGGCCAAGACGTCTGAAGCAGCGCTATTCGGTTTTGCAAACTTTAGGCCTGCCAGAAACCTATGACCTTGGGTTCGAATCCATATTGTTGTGGGTGCTGGTTGGCTTCACCACTGTGGTATAAACGTCTTGGACATGTATCACTTCGTCTTTCCTCCCACATCGAGCCGATATGCAGTGATATAACAGTCTGTGGCAAAACTTTCCAAACGCAGTTAAGGTTATTGTTAGACACTCGCAAATAGTTTATGGAGCAAAAACGATTACTGAAATGACAGTATCTGAAATACTATCCAAATGAATGACTGGCTGACTGACTGTAGATACATTCAACATTCGTCTTATCAAGGTAATAGATTTGTAAGACCTCAAGTAACATATCTTTGGTATCATGCGCAATTTGTAATCCAACAGAAGTTATTTCAAATCAAAACCTAACTTCCAATCTTTTCTTATTTCTGAGATGTTCATTGTTCAGCTGCGGGTTTTTCTGCTGCCGGTTCTGGAGGTTTATCAATGGATTTCATTACTGGTGACATGGTGAGGTCCCTGTGTACCGTCGTAATAGTTTCAATGTGTTTTTAAAATAAAACAAGGGAAAATCTTGAGTCTTAAGCTCTAACACGTGTCATCATAAAGAACACCAAGCATATGACACTTAATGACTACATGTAATGGGTTATAAGTACGAGATCAAATAAAGCTATGACCCAGGATTCCAGTCATTCAAGGCTTCAAGTCATCCATACCCCCCGGAATCTCGTCATTCACATCCAAGGATCTAACCGTTCATACCCCTCAATAACCCACCTTGTTTTTGGACAGCAAAGGCATAATGTACAATGGGAACAACTATGAATGATAAATATGTATCAAACTTATTTTAAGGATTGTGCGTGTTTATAAAAGAGAAGCGTCGCATAAATTTTCGAAGTGATGTTCTCCTCCATAAGGGCAATACTCCATTTCCCTACAGTCGTGTTGTAATGGCCTTATATCTCCGGAGTAAAAATCGTTTTCTGCCATCTGTGCATCGGAGGCAAAACTTGATTCGACTGTAAACAGTGTGTAACATTCGAGCAACTTTGAATATTGAGGTCGCCCTCCGTACCCACAACTCGCCGTTTCGTCTGTTCATTAAGGTACTGCCTCGAAAGCATTTTAGTGCGCGCTTAGCTCAATTGCATTAGGAGTTGTGATTTTTCATACAGGCGCACACTTTGGCTTCTGTGTGCCCGTGCATCATGGGATGTTCATGCATGATGTAAATTGTCATTGGGATGGGATTTTGTTTTCAAACGATACGCCACAGTATCGCAAATATACAGTACAATGAACCATAGTTACATAATTCAAATCATTAGTTTCGTAAGGACCTGTGAGACAAACTTCTGTTTCTCAAGTGCTTCACAACTGGCTTTTGCTACTCTACGAAAGACTAGACCCACATCCAAACACTTACATCAAAGCATCTGAATGTTGGAAAGGAGTTTGAGATGGGTTTAAATATATGATGACTATCAAAGCGAAGACATAATATATCTGCCTGTCTGTAAAAGGAGATTTGTGTGACATGAGGGACGTGTCACTCAGGTGAGATGGTATCTGTGACATTTCGTGTGAGTTTATATATTTGAAACATACCTTTCCCGAAACCGATTTGATAGAAAAAACATGTTGACCAGACAGACCGAACGAAAAAGTGAAGAATATATTTGGTTAAAGTACTTGAAGCAAACATAGTTAAATGGGCAACTGGAGTTCGCCAGCAGCAACAGCAATCACTGATAGGTAATAAGCCAAAACTTTCGATTCCCGATAGAGGTAGCAAACAAACAAAGTGCAGCCAAATAACGTGACCAGTAACGGGATAGATGATGTGACGTCCTAAGATCAAAGATCGCTACATATAAACGAAATTGTGATTGTATTATTTGCATATGTAAATGAATCATTATCAAGTCAAGATCATAACGGGTGTTCGTGAAAGGTCGTGAAAATTCCAGATCGGTTTTGAAGTTTATCAACTGAAACGCCATATTTTAGCAATGATATGACGTCACTGTTTTATTAAAATTGTCATCCTAATAATGTTTAATGGCTTGTATTTGGACCGTAGTGATTATAATGATTCTCAAATGGTAAAAAGGGAAGCGAGCAGCATTTAGTTGTTTTATTTTGTACAGTGCCTGTCAACTGCCCTCCTGGGAGGTATGGACCAGGATGTACCCAGTACTCCAGTTCCCGCAACTGTAAAACACCATCACCAGTGTGTGATGCCGGCCAAAGCAGATCCCACTGCCTATTAGCAAAACCATTGTGCGACTACCGCCGTGGACCCAACTGTCAGCTACCGCTTGACAAGACGACTTCCGCCGCCGGGCCCATATACGTTGCAATTGTTTGCCCCAATGTATGTTATTTTACGATTCCCGGGCTGAAAA